ATCTGGGAATTTACTGGTATAAATTCCTCTCACAGGACTACTTCTCTGTGTCCCACGAATTCTGTAATGTTATAGTGTCATTATACTTTAATTATAGAAACTATATAAATTTAATTTTATGAACCGTTGGTTGTTATTTAACTTCTATGTGTTTATATTTTTGGTGGGGTGTTTTTTGGTTTTGATATACAATTTTTCATCGCACTAGGATCTGATAATATGCATGAGATAAATTCAATTTCTTTGTACTTACTTAAGCCTGCTCTGTGAGTATGGGTTCTTTTTGGATAAAGTCCTATGTGATGCTAAGAAGACTACATATTCTGTTGTTGCGTAATGGAAAACTCTGTAGATCTTTACGAAGTGCATTTGTTCAAAGAGTCAGTTCATCTCAGATATTTCTTTCTTGATTTTTTGTCTAGTTGATCTGTTTACTTGAAACAGAGGGGTACTGAGGTCCCCCATAGAAACTGAATTAGTACTTATCTTATTGTTCTTATCAAATTTAATTTTTTAAAATTAATTAATTTTATTGGTATATTTTAGATAAAGAAGATGATCAAAATCCTCATGAGAAATTTTCAATTGTATATAATCTGCTACTATCAAAAAATCAACCAATAAGAAATGCTACTGGGGTGGGGGGGGAAAAGGAATCCTTCAGTGTTGGGAGGAAGGCTTGTAAAACCATTGTCAAAATTAGGATATAGATATGTTAAAAAGCCAAAACTAGTTTTAGTTCCATTTGACCCAGCTACCGTATTCCCCTTTTTGGTATCTTCACAAAAGAATTTTGCAATATCTTAGCACAGTGATATATGCACACACATGTTCATAGCAGCATTTGTAATAGCTAAATCTTGGAAACAAAACAAAATGCTCATCAACTGATGAACAGATAAAAAAACTGATTATTTTCTTTATACAATGGAGCATTACCCAGTCATAAAGAAGGATAAAGTTCAAATATTAATAGGTAAATGGATACACCTTGAGACCATATTCTTGAGTGCAATACATTGGACACATGTATGTCAGTTTTGATTTGTATTCTGGTGTAAGGACAGTGTAAGGGGGAAAATGTACAATAGATATGGTGAAATGAGTCATTTTTGTTCAGGTTTGAGAGAAGTTTCTGGAATGTTGAGTTCAAGCTCCTGGTTACCTCTCCTTTCTTCACTTGTGGGTTGCCAGAGAGAAGTGAAAATCTTGCTCTTTGGCTCAACGTGAGGGCCTGGCACCTCAGGGGCTTAGGATGGCAAAAATGAAAGGTGTGGCTTCAAGCAGAAAGAAGGAAAGCAGGAAAAAAAAAGGTAAGAAGGAAAGGGCATGGAGCTGTAGTGTGGGGTTCACTGTGTCCCACAGCAGGCAGAGAGGAGGAGGGTAGGAAGGGCACAGGAAGGTGCTTGGCCTCTGCAACTGTCCTGGAGATTTTCTGCTTCCTGTGAGCCATGCCCTGAGTGGGGTCCTGAATCTCAGACTGGCCACAGGAGAGACTGAGAGGTGGAGGTCAGAGCTGCCCTGGGCCCACTGTGCACCTGAGACCAGCATTGCTGTTGGGAGCCAGGTGAAAGATGCTTCTCCCGGGAGGAGAGCTGAATGACAGCCTGATTCACTCTTGGGTAAGAAGGCAGAGATGGGGTGGAGGTGCAGGTATGGGAGGCATGGGGAGGCCGGGACCTGGTTATTCGGATGGAGGCCCAAGAGGGATTGACTGGGATGGGCTGTGTTGCAGGATCACAGCGAGTCACACTCTGCCTTGACTTCTTCTGGAGATTGGAGTTCAAGGTTGCACTGTGGAATTTTCACAGTGCTGCCTCAGACTGGGAGCTCTAGGCTTGTAACCATGGCCTCCCAACTATGTAGCTTCCAGCACAGCGCCATCAAGGGGATCCATAAGCTTGCTGGGCTCTGGTCCACACCATGTGAGCTCCCGCACCAGACCTGAATGAGCCCAGAGATCTCCAGCACGTGTCCTCATACCCATAGGGAATATCGCAGTCCTGGTCCCCTCAGGATTGTGAGGCATTGGCTCTGTGTGCACCAGGGATTTGTGTCTTACATTACCTGCCCAGGTTGACAGTGAGCTAAACCAGTAATTCCTGTCTCCTTGAGAGTTGCTCCCCTGAAGCATCACCTCTGGGAAGAGGGACCAAATCCTAACAGGGAATTGGGGGCATCCAGTTCTGTCCCACCAATGAAAGGAATTCTGAAATGCACTTGAGGTGCTGAGGCACACAGGTCACCAGGGTTTGTATGTAGGGGTGGTGTTGGCCCTCCAGGGACACTGCAGGAACAGTTTTGGATCGGACCTCTTTCACTGCATTAGCTACCAACATAGGCACTGTGACTGGGAGATATGCAGAATTTCCCTGGGGCCCCTTGTCAGCTCCATATGGAGTGGGTAGAGTCTTCCTGTGGTGGGACTGGTGCCTGTGCCTCACCATGAGTTTTATGCTTGGCCTGCATCACTGCGAGACTATAGTACCAACTACTGTATATGATCCACTGTGTGTCAGGCCCACACAAATTCCCTTGCCGAATACTGGGCCCCAAGAAGGGCTCTTCTGCACAAGGTATCCTGGGGCCAGCCTGGTGGCCCAGGGCATGCAGCTTTGCTGTGGAATTAGCAAGATAGGGGAGGGGAGGACTGCTGAGTTGGTGATTACTGGTTGTGATGTGGGACATGTAGGGCAGGTGACCTTACTCAACTCCAGAATATCTCCACTGCCCTTCTCCTCTGCATAGGTGGAAACTTGCCTAGAACCTAAAAGCCTCATCATTCTCATGGGGTTGTCAGGGGAGGTAGTTTCTGACTGACTGGGTATCACTGTGTGTCACCTACCCCAGTCAGTAGAAACACAGACATCAGCAAAAACCTTCTCCATTGGACCACCACATTTTTAGGACCACAGTCCCAAATGGACTTGTCCGACCCCAGGGTGATTCTCCAAACTCGGGCTCATCTCTCCCAAGCTCTGGAAGTTATCAGTCCCTGAACATGCTGCCCAGCCTGAGTCTGGTTGTGCCCATGCATGGGGCTCTGCAGACATCTCTGCCTCCCACTCAGCACCGGAACTAAGCTGCACATGAGACCTGTCCACACCTCACTGGAAGAGCGTGGGGCACAGTGTGGATGACCTGTGGCAGTGAGCACAGGGAAGAATAGATGGAGACACTAGTTCTGGGGTCAGTCCAAGTAGGACAGTAGACGCAGATCAGCTGTGGAGTGGTGGCATATGCACTTGGAGAGCCTGTCAAAAACAATGATGATATGACACAGCTGCATACCAAATTCCCTGCTGCCCTGTGTCCTCACCTTGAATCAGAGGCTTCCTCAGGATAGGGAAGGAAATGGGCTCAGCCCTGAAAAGGTAGCTCAGGGCCCGTAGTCCCCTTGGGTGACCATTCTTCATGTCTGCACCCTGAAATCCCAGTCACTGGACAATTTCAGAAGCTTCCTCCATCCCCCATGAGCAGTGAGGGCTGAGCAGGGACCTGTAGGGCAGAGCAGAGCACGGTTTTGAGGTGTGGGGCCTCAGGATGGACCATTTTTGGTGCCACCTTTAGTGCTTAGGTCACTTACTGGACACTGATTGTGGGTGACTGGCTCAGCCCACAGCTTCCTGGGGTCTTCACTGGTCCTGCAGGGAGGATTTGGGGGGCACTGACCACGAAGGTGAGGACAGGATCAGCAGCCTCTGTAGAATTGATAAGATGGCCTGAGGGGACAGGCCGATGCCTGGTATGGCAGGACGTTTTCAGCAGAGTGTATATCACTGTGGCAGCTGCTACCCCATATACACAGTAACAGAAACCCTGACAATATGGCCTGTTCCTTGGGCCCTGAGCTGCCACCCAATCTCCACTAGGCCCCTCAGAAAGATGAACCAGGGAGTCAGTTGTGAGTGGGGCTGGGAGCAGGATGACCTGGGTGAGGGGACCAAGTGCTTACTGAAGTAACCACAGAAGAGGGTGGGTTCACCCAACGTTGGCAGCAGCATCCTGCCTCCGTTGTGATCTCTGAGCCCTGCAGCAGCCAGAATGCCAACACTCCTCCCTAGCTCTCTGAACCTCAGTTTCCCCTCTGTGGGAGGGTTGTGCATGAGGGATTGGGTGTAGAGTCTCTGCCACCATGGCTTCCTCAAAAGACAAAAGGAAGAAAGCTCAACCCCAAAAAGATTGCTTCTGAGCAGCCACAAATACCATGTAGACATCTGGTTTCTCTGCCAGTGAGGCCCTGAGCTATCTGTACAATATTCCTTCCCAGCTCTTCCTCCTCAGCCCATCTCATGACTCTGACTTTTGGCTTTGTCTTGATCTATACTTAGCACTGTCACTCTATTCATGCACACAAATCCACCCTGGACCAGGGCAAAACAGGACATCTGAGTGAGGTTTCAGCAACCTTGCTGTGGTGTGGTGGTCAACTGCACTTAGCCAGATGGCTGAACTTAGCTGAGCCTGGACTTAGATGTGGAGCCGCAGGGAGGATTTGGGGGGCACTGAAGGGCAGCAGGGCCACATGTGGATGAACATGCATCCAGATATGAAGTGCCAGCTTGGGATGCTCAGGCAGACTGCAGTCTGTCCCTGCAGGGTGACTGTAATGTGTTCAGGACCTTGGAGTTGGCTTACAGGTGGGAACCAAGTCTGTGCTCTGTTCATGGGCACTGGGCACTTGGGAATGCTGCATGCCATGGACTAGGCCTGGAATCCTGAGGTAACAGGGTCCTGGTGACAGCTGGGCTAATGGAAAAACTGCAGGAGCTCATAGCTGCTGGGCGAAAGGAGCAGTAGCACAGTCAGGCATGTGTCAGCCCCAGTCAGCAGTATGCCTGGGAGAGCCCAGCCTGCCTTGTGCAGCTGTGCAGGCAGAACCGGAGGTCACTGCATGACCTCCATGGCGCCAGGCTCTGTTGATGCTTTAGTGCAGCATGACTGGCTCTTGTTGTTGCCATGAGCTACATCAGTGTGGTGGTTATAAAAATTCTTCATTACTGGCCCTAAATCAAAGGCAGCAGCTTCCTGGTGCTGTTGGTTTCAAGCAGGAGCCTAAAGAGATGTCTTTCTATGGTCTGTTGGCCATTTCAGAACTTGGGCAGTGAAAGGGCCATTTAATTAGAAAGAAACAGCTTGAAGCAACCCCTCCACCCCAGGTGAGAGGCTGTGAGTATGGCAGGCTGCAATGGCCCAGGAAGGGAGCAATCTGCCTTTACTGGGACCCAAGCCATGCTGGGACCTGGAGTGATGGGAAACCAAGCAACCTCACCCCACCACCTGTTTTGTTTTGTTTTGTTGAACTTCAATATACATGGAAGTATGGGGAGTGTTTTGCTAAAAGAAAGCTAAAATGCAAAGTTAAAAAATTGTTATTAGCAAAAACAGGTTTGTCATTCTGTCCTAATGCTTATCACCCTAGTAACCATGAAACCGGAGCATTGACCACATAGTTAAGCATTAACTGAAGCATCGCCATACTATTCTGTATGTGTCACCACCTTAGTAACCTGTTTGCTTGTGTCAACCTCTGTTCCCTTTGTGAGAGACAAATGATGTTGTGTCAACCATTGTTCCCTTTGTGAGAAGCAAATGTTCCTGGAATTAGCAGACCCAAGACTGTACATTAAGAAAAGGAAGGGCTAACCATCAACTGTGAAACGTCTCTGATACCAAGCAAAAGGGAACAAAGGCTTCCCCATTCTTGCTTGCTTCACATCACTCCTTACTTTGCAGTTTAATTACTATAAAAGTAGGTCCAAATTCTAACCAACTTGCACAGTTTTGCAAACTCCACCAGTGCTGGGGTTGATGTGGCTGAGCACGTCAGAGTTGACGAGGGGCATACTGTGCGTGGCCTGAACTCAATGGTGAGAGGGCAGCAAAGTCTCTGACCTTAGCTCCTCCTGGCATCTGAGTGTGTAGAGCCTAAACACCAGGTGCTTGGTGGGCTTTCCTGCCAGGTCCCTCACTGTGGTAGCTACCAGAATACACAGTGGGGGACTTCACAAAAAGCCCTGCCATGCCAAATACAAGTCTCAGAGACCTCAAGCTCCCAAACTTCTACAGGTAATCTCAAACAGGGGAAGGGCTTGCACAGTATCTTTGGTTTGCATCTCCCTAGTCAAGACTCTCATAAATAGCAGGAGGTAGGATGTGAATCGGCCTCCAGGAACAGCACGCATGTTCCTGCTGGGGTCCCTGGAGCACTATGCAGCAAGTAGGAGATGGTGTCAGGGAGGTTAGAAAGGGTGTCTAGAAGGTTTTGACCTTGGCGCCCTGGTGGACTCCTGGGGGTCGGGGGGACATGAGGTATGATAAAACCAACAGAACTGTGGCTGCTCAAAGACAGTCCAGATTAAGTTTATCCCATTCTTGGTGTCTCTCAGAGAGCCCCAAAGAAGCAAATGAATGTCAGGACTACACAGGGTGGGGCCTAGCTGAGTGCCCCTAGATGACCACTTTGCCCTGACCTACCTGTTCTGCAACACAGCTGACATAGGTTCTCAAAGCCAGTATTGGAGTACATGCTGGGTGCAGGGCATGGCATTTGGCAGTTGAGTAGGGTGGGTAGTTGATAGTGTAGGGTGTGGATGGTAGGACAGTAATCAGTGTGGGTGTAGGGTGAGTACACTTTGGTGTGGAACACTGGCTCTGTGGATGGCAAGCAATATCCACCAGGGCAGAGCCAGGGCATGGCTGCCATCTGCTGAGGTTTCTTTTGCAGACACGGGGTAGCACTGTCCAAAAATGGAGTCACTGCCTGCCTCAGCTGAGGCCCCTGTGGCTTCATCATGCTGAAGATGGGGCTTGTGGAGCTGCTGGTCTGCTGTGGGTCTCATCCTGGGAAGGACATGGGGCCTGGTTTCCCTGGGAGTGAACTCTTACTGTCTTTAGGGTTACTCTGTCCTTTCTCATCATGATCCCCTTAAAAGGGGCAGGCATGCCTGGGTTAGGGTTAGGGTTACAGTTAGGATTAGGATTAGAGTGTCGCTGATTTTGTCCTGCGGTCCCCTGAGGGTTGGATAATGGCTGCTGGCTCTGTAACCACCACCCCATTTCGAGGCCTGGTTCAGAAGCCTGAATGTGTGCTCAGCAGTGCTCTATGGAGAAAAGATGGTAGGGTGGGGAGCTAGGTTTGAATGGGTGCTATGACACTGTGGCATTCCTGCTGTGGTAAAGCAGCCATATGCAATCACATTCATACCACAGCAACACAGACCCTGCCAAATTCCATTCTAACATGCATGTGGACAGTGGTACCAGTGAGCCAAGAAGCTCCTAGAGAGCAGGACTGCCCAACAGGAGTGCTTGGTGAGTTCCCTGGGTGCCATCTGTGAGGTTGAGAGGTGCTCTGGACAGTTCTTCCCGTACGTGGCCCGATAATTGTGCAGCAATGCCCTGGGAACCACTGCAGGTGGTATTGCATTTGGATTGAGGTATCCTGAGACATGCTTTCAGGCTGAGAACTGTCCCCACACTGTGTATGAGTCACTCTGGGGCCTTTGACCTCCTAGGCTGAAAGCAGAGCTGGGAAGGCCTGGGAGTCAATTCCGTGCCCGCTGATCTAAGACCCAATCCTGATGGCGCCCCTTGAGCCACATAAGGCATGAGAGGAGACACAGCCTCTGTTGTACTGTGTCTCTCTGACTCTGTCCCTGCACCACGGCCTCAGGGTCCTTCTCCTCTACATCTAGCTGACCTCACTCACCTCCATGACTGCCTCCTTTCCCGTACCCTACAAAAGTCTCTGAGCTCAAGAGAATCTGTGCCCTGTGTCTGCCCAGGCTGGTCACACGGGAACTGTGATGTACCCTGCACAGTGCTCCCCTAGGCACCTTGACAGGCCCTGCCCCTCTACAGAGCTCATCTGATATTACTCAGGTGGCGCGATGCTGGACTTCCTGGAAGCCATCTCTCTGGAGACACGGTGCTAAGATGGATGCTTATCCTTGTCTTGGATTTCTTTGTAGTTTCCCACAGGAGAATATTCTCCTTCACAGGAAGGGTGGGTTTTGCCTATTCTGCTTTCAAGTTAAAGAGATATTATTGGTAGTGGGATTTTGGACTTGTTTTTTTTTTTTTTTTTTTTTTTTTTTTTTTTTTTTTTTTTTACGCCTTCAATGCAATGTTCAAATAAATTCTCTGTGCTGTGTCACGTAACAACACTATGTGCTATTTCCTGCTTTGTTCACAAGTACCCTAGGGACATTTCTGGGGCTTAGTGTGCAGCCCCACCGGACTGAGAAGTACCTGAATTTCCCCCTTGCACCTTGTCTTGTGGCCAGGGTCCCTGTGGAGCAGTGACCTTGCGCTTGGATCTGACTCTTCTGCTGCTTCTCTGCTCCGCATGGTTGACCAGTCCTCCAAATCAGTCATCCAATCTCATTGTACTGATTCTTTCATAAGCCTTGTCTGTACCAGTTTTAAAGCTACTGTCATAGACATAAAATCCACAGGAGTTAGAGTACACACCCTCCCATGGCCACAGTCCTAGTCTGGTTCACTTACATCAAACACAAGCCTGAGGTGTCCCTGTCTCTGCACTAGGAGGCAGAGCAACTAAGCCTTCTTCCCTGGTCCCCAGATAGACTCAGGCTATTTCCTGGCTGGGCTGTGGGAGCACCCAACTCCCCCTTTTCTGCCATGACATGAGTGTTCCTGATAGATACCTGCACATTGCTCTGTGAGGGGATATCAGGTCAGGGCTGGTGGATTTGCATGTTGGTAAACTGTGTGGGCCCCACTTTCAATGCTGGCAGCGGCTCCCCAAGTTCAAGGGTGCTGTGGTTCAGGGTGGAGCTTTTGGAGTAGGGCTGTGTCAATGTGGGTATAGTAAGGTCCACCCCACATATATCTATAATATCCTCACAGTGACACAGTCCAGCACAAAAATTCTGCACCTGCTGGTGGCCCTGTGCCTACCCTGGTTGCTCATGACTAGCTCTGCTGTGGGGTTTCTGTGTTTCTTCTGTGTATCTGGGTGAGTTGGGATGGATTGTGTCAGAACTCTCCAGGGTTTTCTTTTCTTTCTGGGAGAGCCTATGGCCATTTTTGCTGTCTACCTTGGCTAGCTTTGATCCTGGCACTTGTTGATCTTTTATTTAGATCCTTGAAGTTTCCCACAGCCTGATTCTGTGTGGCTGAGCAAAGCACAGTTCATCTGTCTTTTTCCTTCTATCTGCTAGGGGAATATAAGGTCACATTTTTGCATACCCAGCATGAGGAACCATCCATGGTTGCCCACCTTTGAAACAACCTGAGCATTTCCTCATTACCAGCTCACCTGAATTCACATGTGTATGTCTGAGTGTCTAGGATTTGACTAGAGGAGCAGCAGAAGGCTCTGACCTGGGTCTCAATTGAGGAGTTCAAGGACATTGTACTTGACACTAACTTCAGGGGCTGAGAATGCTGCCTGGTTGGCCTTGGCCATCACTCCTCTGTCCCATCCATGTTGGCCACCAGGCTGTTGCTGGCCAATACCATTCACAAGAGTCTAGCCTGAGTCTCTACTGACCTGGTAGACTCTGACCTGTTAGATGTGAGGACCCTTTATTTGCCTGGAGATTCACAGAGCATGACTTAGTTACTTTTCTCCTTGCTAAAACAAAGTCCCTGTCACCCAAACTAAAAGGGGGAAAGGTTAAGTAACTCACAGTTTGTAGAGGTTGCAGTCTATAATTGGCTCCAAGACAGAGCTTCGTGAGAGACAGGCATCATATAGGAAAAGTAGATTATGGTGGGCAGAAGGCAGTTTGCAAACAAGAGACAAGGCCCCTTCGAGCCTTTATATTCCATCCAGGTTACCAGGATTAAGGCAGTGCAAAACCAATCATTGGACTGATTGAGAAATCACCAACCCTTAATCCGAGCACCCTGAGACTTAGCATTGCATCATGAATCAATCAAGTACTCGAGATTCAGCCAGCTTTGAAAAAGTTGCAGCTATGACTTCATGAGACTCTGCAATGTCATCTAGATACAAGACATAAAAGGGCATCTTTTTGGTCTCTCATGATGCCCATCATAGGAGCAATTGTTTGAAGTTATTAATTCACACCCTGTAAGGGAGATTGCCAAAGATTTTCATTAGGAATTTCAATGCTTTTTTTTTTTTCAAAATATGCTCCAAGA